GGGCGTTGTTTTATCACCGTCGTAATGACGGTGTCCTTTGGGCTGAGTGATGGCAGTGATAAAGGACGCGCCCGTCCGTCCTCACGACCCGCGCTGAGCAGGGCCACATCGCCGATTTGGGACTGCCCAAAACTTCGGATTCCCTCCGCTTCAGGGCTGCGGCGCGGCTTGGGGACGCAGATCCCCGGTGCAGAAATTCAGAGCGATCACCTCCGTGCGGGACGGGCCCCAGTTTCCCAGCGCTCGGTGCTGTACCTTTACCTAATTAAAAATGCAAACTTTTGGGAGCCTTTCCGAACAAAGCCGCGCCAAATCCCCTTTACGTCCAAGGATTTGCAAATTTATAAAGGCTGCATTGAATTCAGCGTGGGTCAAGGGGCAAAAAAAGGGTAGGAGGTCACCGCGTTTTGATTATGGGTCAGTAAACAACATGGCATGGAGTACGCGGCCAGAAACTCCTGCGGAAAGTGTCCTAAAACTGCGGGAGCGCCGAGCTCAGGCAGAGCCTCAACCCGCCGTGATTGTGAATCGCACCAAATTCTCACGTGCAGGGGACGCCCCGGCCCCCTCCGACCATCACAACTTACACAGCGCTCCGCGGAACTGCACAGCGCTGCTTTGTTTGCAAAGGGGGAAAAGGAGAGAGAAAAAAAAAAGAGAGAGAGAGAGAAAGAGAGCCCTGCAACTCCTGGACACAGCGGTGCGATGATTTTTGTTCAGGCCGATATTTGGCATTTCTACGTGTCCTACGTATTTAGGAGATTTAGTCGAACATTCTCGTTTGTTGTCACAGCGGAATTTACGGCGATTTTTAAGTCCTACAGTCACATTTGGCTGACTTTAAAATAGCAGAAGGATCCCATTATACTGTTCTTTGACCCCATTATATTTACGTTCCCGGCCCTTTGTGATAGCCCCTGGCTGCTCGCTGCTCCTCCCCGAGCGCGGTGCGCACGGCGGGCTCTGGGAGCAGAGGAGTTATCCTTCTGAGCATTTATTTTTGCCCAAGTCGCGAAAGCAGAAGGTTTATTTACAGCTCGTCAATACCTGAAGACACAGCCCAGCACTTAAGAAATAATAATTAGTAATGAATTCACGAATAAGACAGCAATCCGTGGGTGGAAATGCAGATGGCCTCTCGGGCTGCCCTGGAGGTTCCCGAAGCGCTCTCCCATCGGCACAGCTGCCGGTGGGCATCGCTGCTGCATTTCCCACTGAGCGCTCCGCGGTGTGTGTGCCGCGCCGCTGCGGGGGGAAGAGGTCAGGAGGAATTGCGACGGTATTTAAACATCACCGTTCAGTGAAAATAAATCAAACCATTGCGTAAAGGCGAATTTCCAGCTCTACGTGTATTTTTTTTCCTCTCAACGCCGTGATGAAGCACTTCCCTATATTTGAACACGAGTTTATAAAAATGAAAGTATGCGATTTATAGAAAATGGGAATAGGTCTGCAGCGGAGTACCACGAATATTCTTTTTCTCTTTATTTTCTTAATGAGGTTTCTACTTCGGGCAGACGGCTCCGGGGCTGGAACATCGCTCAGCGCAGAGTGCAGATCGCGCATTACGCGCTGCTCAGCGTGAAAAGGAGCACGGCTGATTGATGGTGTGTGTGTGTGTGTGTGTGTGTGTGCCCGGACACACCACCCCGGAGCCGTGTGTGTGTGTGTGTGTGTGTGTGCTCGGCCAGAGCGGGCACCTCTACGTCCTCCTCCCAGGAAACGTGGGACAGGCAGCGGCCCTTCACCGTGGGCATCCGTGATCGCGGGCAGGGTGACACCGTCTGTAAAATTAACAAAGGGACTCCCTGGCATCTGGGAGCCCCGCACACACAGCCAGGTCAACACACACACGGACGTGGACACGCGGGCGTACACGCACACAACTTTTCGCGTAATTGACGCCAGACACCTTTAATTGCTCATTTTAATTCTTTTGGCTGGCGTTCACGTTACCGATCCCGGCCGCAAACAGCGGTATCTATCGATCGCAGTCCCCCTTGTGTGTGCAAACCAATCCGGAAGCCCCCGGCCCTTCGTGTGCGTGAGCGCGGGGCCCGCGGCCCTTCCTCGGGGTCTCTCGGCGGGGCCGGGGCAGAGCCCGGATGCCCGACCCGGCGCGGGGAGAGGAGTGGTGCGGGGAGCGGGCAGAGGTGTGCTGGTGAATGTGGGGCTGGGTGCGGGTATGGGCACGGAGGGACGTTTCCTAGGAGTTCTGCCGCCTTCCTGCCCTTCCATACGGGGCTCCGGCTCCAGCCAGCGGCCGTGGCCGTACCTTTCAGAACGCGAAGGGTGTTCAGACAGCCGCCGCTGCTTCCCGGCGTTTGGTATCGGCGAAATTACACCAACAGAAATCACGCATTTTGGAAATAACAGCCGGGCTGTCACCGCAGGATGTGTGTGTGTGCCTCTGTGTGTCCCCGCGGGGATTTCAGCAGGGACCGAACCGCCCAGCTCCGTGCAGATAAAGGACCTCGGGGCTCATGGCGTTTTGTTGTTG